AGCTGCAGCAGTCCTCCTTCAGCCTGTCTGGTACACGTCTGGTCAAGCCTGAGATTGGGTCTCAGCCTTCTAGTTTTATTCCCCTGCCCACCACCAAGCGTACAAGAAAAGCCCATAAAAATGAAAAAAACTCATTTATTCACAATTTGGCCAGCTTGGAAGGGCAGCTAGCTCTCTTGCCTCCACTGCACAGAAGCACTCCGATTTATAGACAGATTAGAGCAAAGCCAGGAAATACCCATGCATAGATTTAGCCAAGCTTTGGCCCAGAGGGCTGAAGTGTTGCATCCTCCTTGGCAGCAGGGCTATGGGTGGCAATTTGCACTCTCAGCATTAAGAAGCTAGAGAAGTAGTCTATCTCTTTAAAAAAATCTTACTTTTAAAGATCTATTTTAACCTCACAGTTATATTCTGAGTACATGGGACCTGTCAATGCCTAGTTACCATGGGTCCTTGTTCTAGTGATAATGTGAGTTAAAAACTAAAGCATAGATTTGCAGGGGAAAAACTTTAATTGAGAAGTAAGAGACAAGGTAGGGAAAGGACCCCAGCTTCATTAGTAGCTGGAGAGGGCACACTCTGATGAAAAGGACTGGACCTGCCCAGACACAAAAGCAGGGCACCAGACTTTAAGAACTGGTTGAAGTGGACCAGAGTTCTGGCCATCATTCTCTCAGTCCTGGTTTCGAAGCTCTGGAGGAATCCTCAAGGCTAAAGGGACATTTCTATTCTCATGAAATGATTGCCTCTTTGATGGTTTCAGTCTTATAAGGCTGTTTCTCATGGGACCAGTTTGGGACAATGCCCAGAGACTTCTAAGCAAGTTGGACATTGTAAAGAAAGCCTGGTGATTAGATATCCCTCTGAATCCTGGAAATTATTTTAGTTAGTTTTATCTTGGTGTCTTCCATCTTTAAGGGGAATGAGATAGGCCAGGTAAATTTTGTTCTGCCAGCTTTTGGCAGACATTCTCTAAATGACTAATAACCTATATGCAGAGCTGAGAAGACTTTGACTTTATTCTACATTTAGTTATTTATCAAGCATTTTTAGGCCCAAGTAAAGTCATGGGTTTTAGCAAAAACTGCTTTTAAGCTCCTGATTGTCTTAGGAAAAAAATTATGTTTTTAATGAGTAACAGATTAGGGGCCTAGGGGTTTCTTTGCCTTTTTTCCCTGTGGTAGTCTCTGATTATATTGTGACTATAGCAAGACTACAGGTGTGCACCACTATGCCCAGATTATGTATAAAATCTAAATGTATAAATTGCAAAATTCTATTGAAAGACATAAAACATGAATATGTACAAGAACATTTTTATCTCTCAATTATAGTAATATGCCAATATAAATTCTGATAAGTCCTAATGATTTTGAAATGAATTATGGAGGTGGGGGAGAATGGCCAAATGATTCTTAAATCCATCTGTCCAAAGAAATGTTAGAGAATAGCCAGAGAGAGTCAGAAGAAACTACAAACTAGGGCTGAATGACTATGGAATGGTGCCATTAACTTTCTAAGGAAAAATTATTTTTATTATAGAATTCTTTGTCTAGCCAAGCTGTTAAACAAGTAGGATGAGGAAAGAGATTGTGACATATGAATGGATGCAGAAAATGTTTCCTTAAATGCATCCTTTCTCAAAAAGGAAGCCTAAGAATGTACTCAATTGAGGTAAGAATATAATAAAAAGATTAATATGAGGTTCCTGAGGGCTCTGGGCCTAAAGGATTTTATTGAATGGTAATATGAGTAAGAACTTGAGGGTAGGAACACATGGTGCCGGGAAAATTGCCTATGTACATGCTGAAGATGGAATCTAGACTCACATCTCTCACTATGCACTAAACTTAAAACCAAACTGGATCAGAGCCAGGTATTTAGCTCAGTGGCATAGCGCCTGCCTGGCAAGCACGAGGTCCTGAGTTCAATCCTTGGTACCAAAAACAAAATGGTTCAAAGATCTAAACAAAATAGGTAAAATATTTGAAGACATCGGTGTAGGCAAAGACTTTCTGAACAGAACTCTAGTTGCACAAGAAGTAATAACAAGAATCAACAAATGGGATCGCGTCAAATTAAAAACCTTCTGCGCAGCAAAGGAAACCACCAATAGCGTGAAGAGACAACCTACAGAACAGGAAAATATTTTCCCAGCTACTCCTCAAAGAGAGGACTAATACCTATGATATATAAAGAACTCAAAAAAACTAAACCCCCAAATTAAAGACCGAGTCAGAAAATGAGCATCCATGCCTGTAATCCCAGCACTCACAAGGCTGAGGCAGGAGGATTGCTGTGAGTTCGAGGCCAGCCTGGGCTACACAATGAGTTCAGCCTGAAGTACATAGCGAGACCCTGTCTCCAAAAAAAACCCAAGAAACAAAGAATAGGGAGCATCTGAAACAGACAAAGAAGTACAAATGGCCCATAAATATGTGAAAAAAAAACATTGCCAGCTATTTGAGAAATGCAAATTAAAACCACACTGAGATTCCATCTCACTACAAAAAGAATGGCTGTTTTCAAGAAATCAAACAATAACATACTGGAGAGACTGTAAGGAAAAAGGAATCCTTCTCTATTATTGGTAGGCGTATAAACTGGTACAACCACTATGGAAATCAGTATGGAGATTCCTCAAAAAACTAAAAATAGAAATTTCATTTGACCCAGCTATTCTCCTAGGTGTCTTCTCAAAAGAGTTAAAGACGTCACACCACAGTGATGTATGCATAGCCATGTTTATAGCAGCACAGTTCATAATAGCTAAATCTTAGAGGCAGCCTATATGTCTATCTGCATGGGGTTTTTTTGTTTGTTTTTTGTTCCTGGGGATCAAACTCAGGACCCTGCAAGGCAGCCACCAGAACCACTGAGCTAAATCCTCAGCCCCCTATATGTCTATCAACACATGAATAGATAAAATGTATTTATATGCAATGGAGTACTACTCTGCAATAAAGAAGGATAAACTTGAGCCATTTGTAGGAAAATGGATCCACCTTGAGACTATAATGTTAAATGAAGTAAGTAAGTCACAAAAGCTTAAATATAATTTCTCTTGTATGAGAAAACATGAATAGGGGCTGAGGATTTAGCTCAGTGGTTCCGATGTCTGCCTCTCAAATACAAGGTCCCAAGTTTGATCCCCAGTGCCAAAAAAGAAAAACAAAAGACAGGTAAAGTATAAAATAAAAGACAGATAATAGGAAAAGAGAGAGAGAAAAAGTTACTGTAATCCAGTATGGACAGTGTATCTAAAAGTGTACCTTGATTTAGTACAATTATCTTATGTATTTTATATGTTTTTTGGTCTATTGGTCTGGTGCTTAATCTGTATATATGATAATTAACTTTATAAGGACTTATATATAAATGAATCTGATGCTGGCAAAAAAAAAGGGGTGGCGAGGAAGAGGGGGAAAAAGAATTGAGATGTGTTATATACATGTACCAGTTCCTCATAGTGAATATATAATCATTATGGACTGCAAAACATACTAATAAAAAATTTTGAAAACAACTTGAGAGTAGGAAAAAGGAGCTAAAAAATGAGAAGCTATGCAGGGATGTCACTGTCTTGTTAGAACAAAAAGTCTGTGGGCTACAAGGAGAATATTACAAACATAAAGCAGTTGTCAGAATAAATAGGAAGCCAGATGATAGAGACATAAAGTGCCCCTCCTACTAAGAAAAATCCAAAATAAACAGAAACTGTAGGGAATAAACAAATTTTTGAAGAAAAGTCCTCCAATTCTGAAACATACCAAAATGTGTTGTGATTTTAGCAATGGGTAGAGTAACCAAAAGGAAAATCCTTTTTTTGAGTGGCACTGATCATGGTTTTGAAACTATAGAGAAGAAGATACAGTTGTAGCTCACTTCTGGGTAAATGTGTATTGTTTCTATCTTTTAAGATCATCCTAGGTAGAGAGCACAGATGACTCAAATGTCCTGCTAGAAAAGGAAGCAGGTGTTCTAAGTTTTAATAATTTAAACATAAAATTGTACACAGTAATAAAAAAATGAGAGGAACTTACTGTTTATTTCACAAGGTGGAGCTCTGGAAGCTCTGATCAATGCCACAAGAAGTTCAAGAACATTACTGAAGGTCACAAATGTAATAACAATAAAGAAACTCTAATTAGATATATGACTATAAAGGGTGGAGAGAGATGTCTAATACCTAAGTCCTCCTTGGTCTTGGGAGGATGTCAGTATATAAAGCCTGTATTTTAAATCAAGTAGTGGTGTGAGCATGTTACAGAGATACTGAGATAATGACCAGAAGAAATAAAGAAAAATTAAAAATTTATTCTCCCAAGGACCAGGATGGAGGGCAGCAACAGTTTTTCTTTTGATTATATTTAACTGTGTATATGTATATATATGTATATGGCTTTTACAGTTTTCTCTGATTCAGCGCTGTGATTCAGCCACTTTCTTACTCAACAGAATGTGGATGTCATAAATCTTGACAAAGCTAAAAATAACCAAAGAAACAAAAATTTATCTTTGAAGTTGAGCATGGTGGCACATGCCTGTAATCCCAGCATTCAGGAGCCTGAGGAAGGATTTCTGTGAGTTCAAGGCCAGCCTGAATGACATATCAAGACTCCATCTCAAAAAACAAAAAAAAATTTTAAATTATTTCCAATAGTAACATTATTTTCAGTGACAATTGTAACCCCTTAATCTTTTTTTCCTTAAACTGAGACCATTGTTCACATAGTTGACTTATTACTTGTTTTATAATACAGTTAGTCCCTGACTTACAAATGAGTTCCACTCCAGGAGAACATCCATAAATCGGATTTGTTTGTACCCAACAAAGTGAGTCTTTTCAGTATACCTGTGAAATTTTGGGACTTGAATGTTCATAGGTCAGGGACTTACTGTAATAGAAAATCTATACTGGAGTGTCAATTGTTGTTCTTTCCTAGTAAAAGCTACTTTTTAAAGTTAATAATTCCAGTCTCTCTGTCTTCTTAACCTAGAAGAGGAATCTGTTGTTGGCATTTGAAGCAGCGGAAAGTGTAGGCATCAAACCCAGCCTGGTAAGTTTTCTGTTTTGTGTCTTGTTATTTTATTTTATTTATATGAAAAAGAACTTTATGTCATCTACTAAACAGTTTCTTATAAAACACTGAAATCCATTTGCAGAAGACCTGCTACTTATGATCCCTGATATAAAGTTATCTAGTTGGTATGATCACATATATGAGTAGAGTCTTTCAATTACATTTCATTATGGACAAATTTCAGTTCTGGAAATACAGTGAGCTGAATTACTATTAAAGCCCTGTTGTTGCCTGTAATCTCAGTACTCTGGGAGGCTGAGGCAGCGGGATTGAAAATTCAAGCCTAGCCTGGCCAATTTAGCAATTTAGGGAGACCTTGTCTCAAAATTAAAAAAAAAAAAAAAATTTAAAGAATTGGGGATACAGCTCAGGGCAAAGGTTCCAAGTTCAGTCCCCAGTACTGCCAAAAAAGGAAGGGTGGGGAGGGAAGAAGGAAGGAAATCAATACATAGCTGAGCTCTCAAGAAAGAACAAGAAATAATAAGAAGGGAGAAATTTAATTTGAAGTGAAAGCCAGAGCCATAGAGACCATGGCACCCCCAGGGGTGGAAATGGAGATGATAGCACAAGGTTCATTGTAAATAGATACCTAATAGGCCTGCATGGCCTGTAGCAGTGGTGGCAAACCTATGGCATGAGTGTTACTGTGGGAGTTTTTTGGCTTTTGTTTTTGAGGTTTTTTTGAGACAGGGTCTCACTTTGTAGTTCAGGTTGGCTTTGACTCACTATGTAGCCTAGGCTGGTCTCAAACACAATGATCCTCCTGTCTCAGCCTCCCCAGTGCTGGGATTACAGGTGTGTGCCACCATGCCTGGCCATTGTGCTTATCTTTTAAGACCAAAGGTGTTAATATGGAGTTGTTTTTTCTAAACTAAAACCTCAATATTCAGGTTTAATTGCAGTGTTGGCACTTGGTGCTAAGTATGTGGGCTTTGGGTTACAGTTCCGCTCTCAGTCTCTAAAAGGTTCACCATCACTGGCCTATAGGGTTTATATAATACCCACACAGGAACAAGAGACAAGTACCTACGCTCCCATAAATAGAGCATTAGTACTGAGACCCCTGCATAAAACCAAGACTCACAACACAAGGCGCTCCTTAGTGAAAATGGAAAATTTTGAAACTACATTATATCTAGAGAGGTAATAAGGAAGTTTGTCTCCACCTTGGATTTGTTTTTGTTTTGTTTTGTTTGGGTTTTTTGTTTTTTCAATAGAGGAAGATGGACAAAAAGTAAAAATCTCCTGTAAGAAGAGAAAGGGGCCAGATGAAGTTCAGAATCTAAATTTATATCTATGCTGCTTAAAGCCCATAGCTTATATTGGCTGATGCAGGAAGCTCCCAGTAGTACAACAGCCACTAGAAATACATTCACAGGCCAAAATTACAAACACTGAAGAAAATTATCATGCGTTAGTTAATAGAAGTGTGAGGATTCTCTCTCAGAACTGGAGATTTTAAAAAAGAGAGAGACTTCATATAAACTATGCTTAAACATATTAAAGAGATGAAAGAAGGAATAGAAGCCATAAGAAAGAACATGGTACCATACAAAAAGAGAAACTTGGAAAAAGAATCAAATAAAGCTACTAGAAATTAATGAGATGAGTTGCCAAACTGATTGCAGTACTGCAGATTGAATCCAAGGGTACTGTACCACTGATCTACATCTCCAGCCCTTTTTACATTTTATTTTGAAACATGGTCTTAGTAAGTGGCCCATGCTCAGAGTTGCAGTCCTCCTGCCTCAAGTAGCTGGAACTACAGGCATGCGCCACTGCACCTGGCTTTGTGTGTGTGTGTGTGTGTGTGTGTGTGTGAGAGAGAGAGAGAGAGAGAGAGAGAGAGAGAAAGTTGTCCAGAAGTAGTTTCCAGATTGGTTCACCACTCAGTGTTGTAACCAAGGGCCTGAAGTGTATCTTCTGTACATGCCAGTCTTTAATCTGTTGGCTTTCTGTCCCCATACTTCTTCCTCTGTGGTTGAATGTGCCTGCCAAGCCCCAGACATCACTTCTACCTGCAAGACAGGAAGAAAGGAGAAGGAATAGAGCAAGTCTCTCTCATCTTTCTCCTCTGATAAGGAAAGCAAACAGCTTCTGAGGGTTCGTTGGCAATGCTCTGTTACATGACTATCCCATCTGTGAAGGCGTTTGAGGAAATAAATGTATATTATTTTTCAGCCTTTTTTAGTGTGAAGCAGGAAAAGGGAAGGAGAGGTTGGGAATGACTAATGTGTTAAACAGCTAGTTTCAGAGCTTAAGATAATGAAAGAAAATCAGACAAAGTCCATTTCCCAAGTTCAGTGGGAATATCAGAAGAGAGTATAAAAGAAATGGAAGAGAGACAATACAGTGGTGTCTCAGTTCACAAACATAATTCATTCCATGATTTTGGAAAAAATGGCCACATTCATGTTTGTGCAGGAAAGCTGCCCTCAGTTGTGTTCACCACCCAATGCAGAGTTTGCAAACAAAAACAGAATTTTGCCAAATACTTGTTTGTGAACCAAATTGTTTGCAAACAAGTGTTCATGAACCAAGGTGCCACTGTATTTGAATATATGGTACTTGACATTTTTCCAGAATGATAAAATACAAGAGTCCACATATTCTTGTTTTGTTTTGTTTTTTGAGACAGTGTCTCACTCTGTAGTTCAGGCTGGCCTTAAACTTACTATGTACCCCAGGCTGGCCTCAAACTCATGGCGATATCCTTCCTCAGTTCCTGAGTACTGGTGTTACGGGCATGTACCACCAAACCCAACTACATATTCTTAATGTCCTTATGAATCCACATATTTTTAATGAATCTGAAGCAGGATTAATAAAACAAAATATCCAGACATACTATAATGAAACTGCAGAAAAAGCAAAGACTGATTATAAAAAAAAAAAAGAAATCCAACTAACAGTTTTAAAAAGATAACCCAGTAGAAAATTGTCAGTGTCTTGAACAGACAACTTACAGAAGAGGATATGAATGGCCAGTAAACTTGATTGATTGACTTGCAGATTGATTGTAGGGCTGGGGATTGGACCCAGGGCTTCAAAGATGCTAAGCAAACTTCTACGGAGCTATAACCCCAGCCTGACTACTGAACATTTAAAATGTTCGATTACATTAGTGATCAGAAAAATCTAGGCTGAAATAATAGTGAGATACAATTCCATTACCATCAGAAGATGGGAGGAATCCAAGAAAGTGAAAGTACAGCTATCATAGAAATCTTAGTACTGTGAACATTATGCCAGTATAAATTTGAAACAGAATGGTTTCCTAGAGAAATAATACATTTCTTCAAATATTAAATATAAATAGTTCTCTAAGACTTACTAAGAAAGAAATAGCACTTTAACCATTAAAGTTGAATTCATACTTTTATGTGTAGTCACACACACAAAAACAAACAATATCCCAATAACCCCAAATTCTGTTAGACCTTTATGAAACAAATATTCCTATCATGTATGTGCAGAAAATTTAAAGAATGACCACAGTTGAGAGACAAGAATTATATTTACACTCACTTTGGAAACAACAAAACAGCTAACAAATACCAACTAATCAGTCCAAACAGAGTTTACATAAGGATCAAAGACATAATGAGAATTTGTAGATTATATTATACAGAGAATGTGTTTTTTCTTTATAATGTGATTAATATTTGCTTCTTTCATAATTTGCTATATTTTAAATTTTCATCTAATGTACCCTAGAAGTTGGTGATGAGAGTAAAAGTGAGATCATCATGTTGACCTAGTTGGCAGAGCCAGCAATTTCATTTGTAAGGATAGTTGAGTTGCTGCTGACAAATATAATTAATCTCAAAAGCATACTGGAATGCTTGTGAGCTATTTAACCAGTTTATACCATCAGCAAAATAGAAATTTCCTACATTCTTAAGTTTGCTTTTCTGTATCTTTTTTTCCCTTTGATTCTGGGGATGGAGCCTAGGGCCTTCACCATGTACTTTATCACTGAGCAACACATCCAGCCCTGCTTCTCAGTATCTTGACGTGGATTGAAAAACATACTGAGTTGCACTTGACACTTTTAAACTATACCCAGTCAGAAGTGACAACTGTATTTAATCTCATCTTCAATCAAATTCGGTTGTTAGATTTTTGCAGGAAATAATATATATATTTAAGTACATATAAATATCCAGGTATAGCCAGTTAAAAAGAATGAGCTTAAAAAGTGGAGCTCTACAGTATTCCCCACCTTTTAGAAAGCATCCCTTCTTAGCCACTGTGTAATCCGGCAGTTTGTTGATTGATTGTAGTGCTGGATGAACAATCACAGGGGTGAGCAATTCCTTACAGAAACCCTTGGGTAAGAGAGGACCTGGGGCATCAATGTCATTACCGCAGAACAACCAGGAGGTCTGCCCTCCAGGGCTGATGTGCCTGTAACTTGATGAGGGGACACTGCTGCCTTGGTCATCTGTTCCCTGAAGGCTGTTGCTCACTGAGTGAGCCTGTACCACCTCCAGGACAGTCACTATCCACAGACCAAGGTCTTCAGGGTCCCAATGGAGCGTGGTCATCACAACTCACGATTTCAGAATACTGGAGTGATCCTTTAGGCATAATTGAGCCTGTGTTGTGGTGTAAACTTTTATTACGTGCATCTCAGTAGTTACTTTCAGCCTAATTACACACACCAAAAAACCATTTTTCTCCTATTTACGATGTGGGCATTTCCCATCTATTGACCCACTAGAGCATCTCACGACTCTTGTGGGGTAGAAGCACTGTGCAGGTGGGACACAGAGGCATATGCAGTTCATAGAAGATCACACGCCTAACGAGTAGCAAAGGCAAGAGTCAGAGCCAGGCAGGTTGGCTCTAAAGCTCATGACCATAGCCACTCGGTGACCTTGCATGCATGACAACTGTGTCCACCTTCTGGGCTCTTAAAGCACTTATTCATAGTACTGTGTCCACATGTTCTGTTATACTATAATTCATCT